CAACAATGTCCGACCGATGCCCATTGGGCAGCCGTGAAGAGGATTCTCCGTTATCTACAGGGCACACTCACTCAAGGCCTACTTTTTCAACGATCCTCGAAGCCACAACTCAATGGTTACTCCGGCGCATCTTTCGCCTCTTGTCCCCGAGATCGTAAGTCCATCTTTGGTTATGCAGTCTTCTACGGCCAGAATTTGGTTTCCTGGTCCACAAGGAAGCAACAGGCTGTTGCTCGGTCCTCTACCGAGTGTGAATATAGGGCTCTCGCCACTGTAGCATCCGAAGTAATTTGGCTTCAAGCCCTACTGACTGAGCTCGGCCAGTCCACTACTGCCCCCTGTTCTTTGGTGTGACAATCTGGGAGCAACTTATCTCGCTCATAATCCAGTCTTTCATACTCGCTCCAAGCATCTCGAGATCGAGTTTCATTTTGTCCGTGACAGAGTCAACAAGCAACAATTACATGTCCGCTATCTTCCAGCCACCGATAAGCTAGTGGACGTTCTCACAAAACCTCTGTCTCGCCTTCCCTTCCGGACTTTCTGCTCCAAATTTCACCTCATCGAGGTTCCACTTGCGGGGGCGTGATAAGAGAGAGTAATAAGTGGAACATAATAGGTTCTCCACTATGTTTTCGTTTGAGTTGTTCCTTGTTTGTAGCAACCTCTGCGTGGGTTTTGCTCTTTTTGTTGCTTCTGTACTTGTATAAAACCCAGGATTCAATAATGCAAAACTCAGCTTTCCAGAAACACTTTGATGAGTTACCGCCATTTTAACCAATTACTTAGCTATTATGTTTCTTATTATAAGTTCCAATATCAAATTCGTTAAAACAATTGAAGTCAGTAAGCAATTTCTAAGGGGACGTTTGGAAGTTGCGATTGTTTTGTTGATATTGTCATTATGCATGTATTGTTTACAATGCATCGTTTTTTTTTTGTTTTTTTTAGCAGAAACAATACATTGATTGTTTCTATGATGTGACAGAAACTATCACTCATTTTGAGTGATTGTTATATCTCAACTTTTAGTTGTAATTGTAGAGATAGTTGAGTTGAGATTGTTTTGTCTCAGCTTTTAGCTGATGCGATATACACAATCACACATACCAAACGTTGTATTCTACAATGCATCCAATTCGACAATACATGTATAATATTATACATGCATTCTCAACAATACATCTATTTAACAATCACAACTTCCAAACGACCCCTAAGTGAACTGAAGTTTCATTGATTGTTAATGTAATTGACTTTGGAATCTAGAACATATATAATAGCAATTCATCACTCACTTTTTCTCCATTTTGAAATTCCGGCTCTGGGAGTGTTTCCCGGAAGGTCAATCACGTCATTTTACTCATAATTATGGCGCTCTGCGTTTTGATTTCCGCATGTGCAAGTAAGCTGTGTGAACAAGGCCTCCCCATGAATAAGATTTGGGCCTGCCTTCGGCCCTGCTCCACTGCAACGGCCCATTGAACCACTCACAACGTGCTTTCGTCAAAGACAAGATTGGTTTGTACAGCCGTTCATTTCTTCTTCAATTTATTATTTTATTACTAACCATGGGAAAGATATTTGTTTGCAGTATTAAGTTTATTTGCATTACATGGAACACCTGGTAATGTATTCAATATTACAAATAAAATTATAATATTCATATTTAAATATGACATTTAACGTCAATATCTAAACATTTATACTTGAATCCAACAAATAACATCAATATTTAACTTTTATACTCATAAAATAAATAATAAAAATATAATTTTTATCAATTAAATTCACTAAAATAAGGTCATTTTACTTAGAGATTTGTATATCGATCATGTCGGTCATACCGGTGGTGTCACGCCGATTTTATGACCAGTATCGGTTGAACCAGGTACAACCGGTGGCACGCCGGCCAGCGTGACAACCATTTCGTTCCAATGATTATTATTCTTAATCATTTAATGAACTATTACTTTCATATATATATATATATAGATAGATAGATGGTGGCGTATTTGGTGTACTCACTTTTTTTTGGTGCACTCAATGCACTCGCCTCATAAGTGTCATTCCAAACATGCGATTCATGTCAAAATGGTATCAATTGTCCCTTATGATATTATGAACAAGAAACACATGAATTTGCAAAAAAGCTCATTCAAGATTTATTTTAATTTCAAGGATTTAGGATTTAGGGATTTAGGGTTAGGGTTTCGGTATACACTTTGGGATTTTGGTTTGGGATTCAAAATTTAAGGTTAAGGGGTTAGGGTAATGGATGATTAGTTGTGATTTTATTTTATATCATCATATTAGACTAATGCTACCAATTAAAATTCAAAATTTGATGTATTATAGCCACTTTTAGAGTTGGGTGCATTGAACACACCCAAAAAAGTGAGTGCACCGTAGCCAACAGATATATATTCCTAGAGTATATTATACTTCTGGTACTCCTATTGAGATATATCTATCTAGAACATGAACTAAATCGAGATTGGAGTATGATACTATACCCTAACCTCTAATAGATAAACCCTAGGCTCCTGATTCGTTGAACTCAAACCCAAAGTTCAATTTTAATGAAAAATAATAATTGATCGTTGAGATTGGTCGGAGCTCATCTAAGTACATCTAATGGTCAGATCACCTTGAGTATACCAGTCTATACCATATATATATATAGTGGCGTCTTCGGCGCACCCACTTTTTTTTGTGCATTCAATGCACTCGCCTCATAATCGTTATTCCGAGCATGTGATTCATATCAAAACTGTATTGATCGTTGCTTATGATATTATGAACAAGAAACACATTAATTTAAAAAAAAAAATCATTCAAGAGTTACTTTAATTTTAAGGATTTAGGATTTAGGGATTTAGGGTTAGGGTTTAGGTTTACAATTTGGGGTTTTGGGTTGAGATTCAACATTGAAGGTTAAGGTGTTAGGATAATGGATTGATTAGTTGTGATTCTATGTTAATACCATCATATTAGACTAATGCTACCAAATAAAGTTTCAAAATTTTATGTACTATGACCACATTTAGAGTTGAGTGCATTGAATACACCCAAAAAATTGAGTGGGCTGAAATAGCCACCTATATATACCACTGTTTTTTTCATACTAGGGGCAGTGAAAATCAAAATAAAGAGAAATCCCATGAAGTTGCGTGGGATAATGTGTACTTGAAGAAATGAGTTCATTTCGATTATCTGCTTCCAATATAGTAAGAGGTTATAAAATCTCCATCATTTTAAGCGCCCTATCTTCTATGCACTTTTTTCCCACGTGTCCGTTTTTATATGTGTTATCTCATGAATTATACATTGTTGCATGGTAATTTCTACACTGTTTGTGGTCATATTTGTGATTTGACGTTCATCTGGTCAATGACTCGAAAACAATACATTATTCAACTAACTATTGCTAACAACTATGGGTTGAAATTCATCACACGTGTTGTAATTAATAAGGATGAGATCTATTGGAGAAAACACATGACATATTGAACTGCACTAGAGACCAAAAATTTTCTTTCATCCTAAAGCTTACGTATGAAGCAACTCCAATCTCCAACTATATGATTTATTTATACTCAAATATCCTGCATTAGTTTTAAAGTGCCAAAAACTCTTAATTTTATTTTATTTCTTATCTGTGTAATTTTCTCCTCTTTATATAAGATTATATCCCATTATGGATAGTATACCAATTTTCTAAAATGTTTCATAACTATTGTACAAACACACATTGAATAATATCATTTCATATCTAAAACAACGAAAATGTTCCGATTAAACTCTCCCTGCCAAAGGCCGGGCCAAGTGCTAGTTTAATACAACAGAAAACAAAATGAAAACATTCCAATTTTCAAGTGCACCATTTCGAAGGTAACGTCAGTAGAACGAAATTGGTAGAACGAAAAGTCAGCTGGAGTTAAGTGTTTAAAAAGCCAAAGAAAGCAACTGACACGGAGGGCGGCTTAGTCTAGAGACTCTAGACAGAAAAATCCAAGGAGGGACGGCGCGAGCGGGCAGTTGTCTGCGATCGGCTAGTGGAAAGATAGCAAGAAGTTGAGCTGCTCCGGCGAAGGAAGAAATAGGGTTCTTTACTCAAAGGGAGTGCAGTGACAGTGGTTGATTGAGCTGCCAAGATTGCATAGTATACTAGTATAGTACAACTTTCCCTCTCATCCTCCATCTAACTGCAGAAGTAGAAGAAATTGATCTATCCATAGAAGTTCGCCCCGCTCTGTGCGACTCATAGACAGGGCGAGCTCACGGCTACTTCTTCATTTCCGCATCGGCCGTTGCCGCCTAACCTTTGGTATCGTTTCTCAACGCTTCCCTAATTTCTAATAATGCATGGGTAGAAGTAGAATTATGCACCGGGCGATCTAGATTGTTATGTTTTTTTTGCTGAAATTAAAGAGTTTATAAAGGCTGAAAACAGTTTCCATATGGGAAGGAGCTGGTGCTCTTATATGTTCTGATGTTTGCGTTGGTTGGACTTGGGGATTCTTATCGTCTTTGCGAATCTACCTCGTGATTTTCAGTCGAAAGACTTGATTGCGTCTTGTGTTTATTGGTTGCTCTCGTAGAAATGACGCTTACTGTTTTTTCTTTTCTTGCTCTTGCTTTGGAAAATCCAACTAGGTTCCTTGGGTTTGTTTGCTTACTTCCTATGTTGATCTATGGTGCATGTTTGAGAAATTCAGAAACTGGTTCAATATTGTTTGTAGAGGGGAAGTGGTAGAAATACATTGGAATAGAGGGGTAGTTTTTTTTTGGGCGTACATGTATCTTCTTCCTTTCACCCCTCTTCTTGTCTCTCTTCCATTTTCACATTTCATATTACTGTAGCTTAGTCTCCCTTCTCTCTCTCTATGTCTAGAGTTTCCTGCACTATGGAGGAGGTCGTTTTTTATTTTACATAAGTGCATTGGGAGGTAGTTTTGAAGAAAGCTGAGCGAGCTAGAGGAGACAACAGTTTCAACATGGGCTCTTTTCAACGCCAGCTGCGAGCCATGCTTCGCAAGAATTGGCTGCTCAAACTTCGACATCCTTTTGTTACTGGCGCTGAGGTTGCTCTCCCCTGTTGATAATCCTAATGTCCTGAATTTGTTTTCTATTTTGGTTTAATCTTCTTGGCTTTTTAATGTCATTTCATATTGATGGGCAGATTTTGCTTCCCACGGTTGTAATGCTATTGCTAATAGCCGTAAGGACGCAAGTGGACACGGAAATACATTCTGCTCAACCGTAAGTTCTCATCATGTTCATCCACCTTGCTATAATCTACTTAGTCCCTCTATAACAACTGTCTTCGATTTCAAAACTGAAACCATCTGTGATTGAGAATCCGACACTGAGAAACTTTTTGTTTGTCCTTCATTGATTGTGCAATATGGACCGTGATTTCATGCATATGGTTTGCACATTTGTCCAGATATATACGTAAAGACATGCTTGTAGAGGTGGGGAAAGGCATATCACCAAATTTCCAGCAAGTTTTGGAGTTATTGTTGGCCAAGAAGGAGTTTTTGGCTTTTGCACCGGATACTGAATCAACAAGGCTGATGATTAACTTATTATCAATCAAGTTTCCCACATTGAAGGTGCACAATAAATATGTTTCTCTTTTTCCAAATTCCCTCTACCTTAGGATCATTCCATTTCTGGTGCATTGCTTATGATGATGCCTTAATTGAAAAAAAGAAAAACCTGAAAGTTGATTGTTTTCTTTCTTCCTCCTTATCTTCTCCTCCCCCCCCTAATATTGAAACAAGATGACATTCTTGGTGATGAAAGTGGACTCTGCTGAGATGATACTTCTGTGGCATTGTGATTCATATGACAAGCATGGCATATAGTTTCCTTCACCACTCACTGGTCCTGGGTGATTATTTAGTCCTTCCCCTGCAGCGTTATTGGATATTTGAGGGCTAGCTTCAGATGTTGTGCCTGTGATTCATTCTGTTGAAATATCAGGATTTAACACACAAGTAAAAAAAATACTAATTGGTGTTGATTCCACCTTTTTTATCAGACGTCCCCGAATGGATGTGTTGATTTCACCTTTTGAATGTTTGAGATGGTCCTTTTGGTGGCGCCATAAGTTTTTATTGATATATTAGAAATGCACGCAGAAAAACAGTGGTTCCCTTGGATGCCTTTGTAGGAGTCTTGTTTGGCACATGCTTGAGTGAGATATACTATAGTTATAATCTAAAAAACATTCTGGAGATCCACCTATTTAAGTTTTCCCATTTCATACTACCTCACGGTATTATTATCCGAGGAAAGAAGCTTGTAAATCTGCTAGATTCCCATGCCAAGGACAAAGTAAAAAGATAAGATCTGGCTGCATTGGAGGATAAGACCACATTAGATGATCTGGCTGCATCCCTTGATCAAAATAAGATAAGACCTTACTGGAAAAACTCAAGCTCTAGTACCTTCTATGCCAAATCTCCTCAAATTCTGAAAGGAGAATCCATCCTCTGACACTTCACAAGCCAAATGCAATCAACTGACTCCCACTACTACTAGTTTGGCAATATAATTATGTCTGGCCAGTCTCCATAAAACTCAAGGAAAAGCAATATAAATGTGCACTAGCCAATGCATGATATGTCCTCTTTCGTTTATCTATCAGGAAGGGTATGCTTATTGAATATTTCTTGATCTGATTTTTTTTTTCCAGCAAGTTTCCAGAATCTACCAGGACGAACTTGAGTTGGAAACTTATATACGCTCGGAACACTACGGCACCTGCAGTCAATTGATGTAAGGAAACATATACTTTCAATTGATGTAATTGTTTCTGGGCGGATACAACATGTACACCTGCTTTAATTCTAATGTAGCGTGGTTTAACAATTACTTTCAGTCTCAAAAGGTCTGGGCTATGTTAAAGTTTACCTAGATGTGGATTTTTGCTGAGCCAACTTTTTATGGGTCACAGACTAAACAAATGCGGGGCATACCAAGAATGTAGTTAGTGTCCCACAACCAAAAGCTTAGTAGGCGTAGTGCTCAAGTTTTAAAGTCTAGTGCCTTAAGACCATCTATTCTGTAACAATAGGTGTAAATAGAGATGTTTATCATGTTATAGAGCTTTCTAGCTTCGTGAACATAAGAAACATCTCTTCTGTAAACGAGTTTCAGTCAAGAAGGGTGGTTATGGTAGTATGGTACTACAAAAAAATATTTTTGTTTGTGCCTACAGCTGCATTAAACACATTTATCTTTCATGCTAGTGAATCTTGCAACAATAGTACCAATACTTGGTTTTTTTACTACAAATTGCTACCACATGCTGATGTGTATCCTTATTAAAACAGTTCTGATTGAAATATTTGGCTTTAAGATGTTGCATTCAAGAACTTAATGTTTTCCCCCCTGATTTTTAGAGATTGCACGAACCCTAAAATCAAAGGAGCGATAGTGTTTCATCATCAAGGCCCCCTGGTGTTTGATTATAGCATACGCCTCAATCACACATGGGCATTCTCTGGTTTTCCTGACATCAAAACCATCATGGACGTGAATGGCCCTTTCCTCAATGACTTGGAATTGGGAGTTAATATTGTGCCAATACTGCAATACAGCTTCAGTGGTTTCCTCACTGTATGGTGCTACGGTTTGCTAAGTGCTGATATAACTTGTGTGTTTTATGCAAGTTTCTATTAGGGCTTTTACACTATCTTTGAATTTCAACTTGATTGGGTGGCATAATTATTGTCACTTCAGTATTTGATGATGTTGTCTATTTTACACCTTTCTTGATGGGATTTTCAGGGTGGTGGGGTTTGAGGTAGGGTGTAGTTCATATTTTCATTCAGATATATTGCAAAGGCTGAGGCATTTCACTCACTGCTGTGCTCTCCACAAAGCCTGTATATTTTCCATCCCAGTTTGTCAATAGTGTTTTTTTCGTACTCCCTGTAGGAAGGGAGTGCTTAAGAAGTGTTGAACCTTAAGATTCTTGTATAAAGCTCTCTCAGAAGTTGTGACCGCAACTCTCGGTTAAGTGTGCCCCTTTCTCTAGGGAGCAGACCCAGTGCTCGTGAGAGCACAAAGAAGTCAGTGTCATCTCTGAGTAAAAGACCTTTTGGTTTTGAATTTTTGGAAGAGGATTAGGGATGGTCGTGTTTGCTCATAGCTGTTGGTAAACTAGTCTCCTTCCTACAATAAGACATTGCAGTCTGGAATTATTCAGCAAATTTCCCGAAGGGATGGCTTAACTTGGAAGGAGCTGCTCCAGCGAGTTTGTACTGGACTTAGCTTTATCCCAGTTGCTCTACCTTATGGTGAAGTAGGTGACACTAGAACTTCTTTTTGGTGAACTTTTTTGGGTGAAAGGTAACACTTTTTTTTGGTGATAATGTTGGTGAAGGGTAACACTAGAACTTCAGATCAACATCTTGTGTCTTCCTTCAAAGTTCTTCACATGTTGTTAAGGAACAGTATAAGTGTGTCATGCTCATAAGCTCGTAACAACTTCCTCTGCTAAATTGTGGAGCATGCTTTCTCTATCAATGAAGTGTCATTCTTATCCCTGAACTTTCCTTGCTTGGATTTCTACAGATTCTCCACTTTTTAAGTTTTTATTATCGTTTTCCTTTATACTGCAGCTTCAGCAGGTGGTGGACTCCTTCATTATATTTGCCGCTCAGCAACCTGAATCTAAGATGCCTAATGGAAACCTGGAACTTCTTTCTCCATCACTGAATGAACCATGGTCACAGTTCAGCCCTGCCAAAATTCGAATGGCTCCATTTCCAACTCGTGAATACACTGATGATGAGTTTCAATCAATTGTGAAAACTGTTATGGGTATTCTGTATGTACCTTGATTATGCTAGTATTTCGCCAATTTTTGGTTACTGTTAATTTTAACTAATTACTTTCTGCATATCTGTCAACAGATATCTATTGGGATTCCTGTACCCAATCTCGCGCCTCATTAGCTATTCTGTTTTTGAAAAGGTTTGTTAATTGTAGCCTATAAATTTCTTTTAGTTTCGGAAAAAGGAATGCTTAGTTCTTTTGCCAAATTAGCTATATCGAGTTTTCAGAATTTTTTCATGACATCACTCTTATTATTCCATGATTTTCTCTCTTCTGAGATATGTAAATTTTAATTTCTGAGACAGATCGGTGACTAGTGTCCACATATTGCCTCTTAAATTTCATTTTTCAGGAGCAGAAGATTAGAGAAGGCCTCTACATCATGGGATTAAAAGACGAAGCATTTCATCTCTCTTGGTTTATTACCTATGCTTTGCAGGTGACTCTTCTTTCATCTTTGAATAGTCTTATCATTGGTGATTTTGTTGTATGTGGGTTTCAAGGTTTTGGTTTTAGATGATAGTCATTGTACAATTTTTGAAAGGTGTCGGAACTTTGAATGATAATATGTTTTGTTTTTAAAATAGATGTTTCTATTCTTGATTACTTCTGCTAGGATCACATTGACTTTGTCGACTCTGAACCTTCTGTATTAGGACTTGAACTTTGTCACTAGTATGGTTAGTAATGGGTTTATAGTACTTTTGAGATAGGAATGCTATCTCTTACGATGAGACCTTTTATATATCTACTCAACGTAGGCTTTCCCTTGAATATTTTATATCGTTCATTTTCCTCTTGGTGCCTTTGTACGTGTGGTTTTGGTTGTTTTTTGTTTCGGAGAAAAGACATTGTATGGACTGCAGGGAGACGGTTGCGTTTGTACTTCCAGTTCTAGTGTGATATATTTCACCACAGGGTCAGCATTAGCATTCATAGGCTACAAGGTTGTAATGTCATGATGCTAGGGTGTACTGAAGCTAATATTAAATGCTACCATGTGATCTGCCTTGAACTTTGTTTAAACGGCATGCATTTTTTTTAATGTTAAAATGACCTCTGTGAGTCATTGTCTTCACTTATCCAATCAATTATTTATTGACTTTAGTTTTCTTTTCTGGTGCAGTTTGCAATTTCATCGGGGATTATTACAGTTTGCACTATGAATAGTCTATTTATCTACAGCGACAAATCGCTTGTGTTTGTGTACTTCTTTTCATTCGGTCTCAGTGCTGTTATGCTGTCATTTCTGATTTCTACGTTCTTCATGAGAGCAAAAACTGCTGTAGCTGTTGGAACCCTGGCTTTTCTTGGAGCTTTTCTACCATATTATACAGTCAATGATCCATCTGTTTCTATGTAAGTTCTAATTCTATGTCAGTCTTTTATAATTGCCTAATATTCTGGTGCAGCAAATTATCTCATCTTTGCAGCTTTCCATTATTCTGAAACTGTGCAGGGGATTGAAGGTCATTGCTTCTCTGCTTTCACCCACAGCCTTTGCTCTGGGATCTGTTAACTTTGCTGATTATGAACGGGGTCATGTTGGACTTCGCTGGAGTAACATGTGGCGGGTATTGTTCAGTGGTTCTTACATTCTTATTATTTTTGTGTCATTCCCTAGCTTTGTTACTAATCTCTCTAGGGAAAATTGGCGCAGTCGTCATCTGGAGTGAACTTTTTGGTCTGTCTGCTGATGGTCTTGCTCGACACACTATTATACTGCGGAATTGGTCTGTACCTTGATAAGGTCTACTTCTGAACTGCTTCATTTGTATTTATGTAACGACCATATCTATTTTCTGAAAATCTTTCAATTCAAGAGCTGTCTAGTCCCTAGGTATGCTGTTGTTGGGCTGTAGCTACGCAAACCTCTTGTGTTTTTTGTTTTATTAAAGAAAAGTGCAACAAGGTTGTATCGGTATGTGGCTCTTTCCTACTTCCTACTTCCTCCTTGCTCAATTTATCTTTTTTCTGATCATGATAAATTGCTGATTTGGCCTAACACATGCTGTTAGAAGCTTTAACAAAATGCTAGGTACCAGCATAATTTAGTTGCCTCTGGAAATTGCTATTGCATATTAATAATTTCTGATTGAGAAATACCAAGCCTTTTTTTCTGTTTCCTCCTATATCAGTTCATATTTTCCTGCCAGTTCGTGGGTGGAAATGTTGCTAACAGTGCGTATTCAGGTGCTTCCAAGGGAAAATGGAAGGCGATATAAATGGAACTTTTTGTTCCAGAAGTGTTACTGGGGGAAGAAACCTACTGTTAAAGATCACAAAAACAACACAGCAGCCATGAACAATGAGAATCTCCTGCATGGAAATGCTAACCTTGTAGAAGATAGTTTGGAACCCGCTGTGGAAGCAATTACCTTGGACATGAAGCAACAAGAACTTGATAACAGGTATAATAAACATTCGGAGGCCTCGGTTGGCAAGGGTTCATTAAATGCTTCTCTAATATCTTTCTTTATTGGTTTATTATTAGATGCATCCAAGTTAGGAACTTGCACAAGGTCTATAGCACAAGGAAGGGGAATTGTTGTGCAGTTAATTCTCTACAGCTCTCCTTGTATGAGAATCAGATTCTTGCTCTTTTAGGTGGGTGCAATCCTTCCCCTGTTCATGTTCTGGTGCTTGATCAGAATTCTTAAACTTCAAAATGCATCACATAACTGGTCTCTTTGGGCGGTTGATCCAGTTTCTTTAGTTGATGTTCTGTGATAAAAGTCCAGGAGGAATTTGGACTATCTGCAAAGGTGGTTAAGATAATTGTTACCTTTGCTTTTCCAACTGCTGATGTATTAACTACTGATTCAGGTTGCTTGTGTATTTTCTATATTTTTTACTTTCACACTCATGACCCTTGGTCCTACTGGAACATGGGGTTCTGAATGAGTAAGTGATAGAGAATTTTAATGAACTCATCTGTATCATCCCACAACTATTCCTTGCTTAATGATGTGAAATGCACATACAGCCACTCGTCCATTTAGTCGTCCTTATGTACTTTGTTCTTGATGTAATTCATTTTTGTTACCAATACAACTTCCGGACATATACTTTTTGTGTATGACACGACTTGTTTCTTGTACAAGTTTGGGGCTATTTTCTATGACCTTTGCTTTTACAATGCCAATATATGGTTAACTCTACCTCTAGTCTTTGGTACAAAAGGTGGATTGACTCGATGCTAAGCATGTGATTTTGTTAATGATCAATCTTGGGAATTTCTTAGTTTGACACTGATTTTGCTTTTTGTCATGCAATGTTCATGACATAAATTATGTTCAAGGTCATAATGGAGCTGGGAAAAGCACCACAATCTCGATGCTTGTTGGTCTTCTTCCTCCTACTTCTGGGGATGCTTTGGTATTTGGAAAAAATATCACAACAGACATGGTAAATTGTAATTCCAGTTGCTGCAGTCTTTTCTTCTCTGTTTTGAGGTGGTTGGAGATACTCTCACTGCCCTAATGTACACAGATGTTGTGCAGACATATGTGACGCCATTGTTGGTATTTGTTTAGACTGTGGAGTCACTGTTGGATTTGTGATATTTCATGTTGTGGACTTGATCTCTGGATTATGCCGTTTGGGATCATGTATCTCGTCTTTATATTCTAATATTTCCCCCCTCTCTAATGTTTCTCACTTGTTCTGTAGGATGAGATACGGAAGAGCTTGGGTGTCTGCCCTCAACATGATATCCTGTTTCCTGAGTTAACAGTAAGTGTGAACATGCTGGACCTAGTTCACTTAGTTATTAACTTTGTTCTCAGAATGAGAGATAGTGTGTTGTCCCTTATTGGAGGATGAGTGCTTGAAAGATCATTTATCCTCAATAACAAGATGAAACTGCACTCATCATTTGCATAGAGCAAGTAACGAGAAGTGAAGTTTCACGCCTGTCTTGTGCTCTGATTTGGCCTTATTTTTTATCCAGATGCCTTCCAGTTTAGTGAGTCGGAAGCCACCGTATGCGAAAATTACAATTGTATATGAAACTGTTTTACTCTTATTTTTGCAGTACTAAGTCTTCCTTGCATCTAAAATCTTTGATTGGTGGCTGCTCCAGCCAAACTCTGCATTTCGGCATTTGCTTGTTTTGACTCCTTTATCACCTGGGCTTATTAATGGATAGCGCAAAATGGGTTGGGATAGGTTATATTAGCAGTTTTCCTTGTTAAACAAACCTTTTGATGCAGCTGTGAACTTCGTGTAAGGCTAGAACCTTTATCGACGGTGCTGTAAATTTTGTTTTCCTTCTACCATGTGCAATTAGATAGTTTTGTATATGTTAACGAATTGGTTGTTTTTTTCTGATTGTTACTTCTTCAACATGATATTGGGTGCACAGATTTGTTTGCGTCATTATTAATTACTTGAAATTTTTTCGTTTCAGTAAAAAAAGATTGAATACTACATCCTGATTGGTTAGTTGGCTTTATCCAGGTGAGAGAGCACTTGGAGCTTTTTGCCACACTGAAGGGTGTTGACGAGAATTTTTTGGATAGTACTGTTACAGATATGATTGATGAAGTAAGATTCTGTCCTGATTTAAGTTCTTACCTGTAAAATATCCAATCTTTGAAAGTGATTATTGATATTGAACGCATTCAAGTTAGATGAGTTTATGCAGATGGACTTCTATACATCTGTGGTTTTGTTATATTACATAATGAATGAGCTTCATTCATTCCAAGTGTCGGCAATGTTTACCCAATTCTTCTCTGATTGCTTGCGTGTTCTCATGATGCATGCTGAGAATGCCTTTATGGCTTATGTTAGGTCGGTTTGGGTGACAAAGTGAACGCTGTTGTCAGTGCTCTTTCTGGAGGCATGAAGAGAAAACTGTCGCTGGGAATCGCATTAATTGGGAATAGCAAGGTAAGTTGATGCTTGAATCTTAGTTTTTCTTATTATTTCTCTCTCTTTTCTTTGTTGAAATGCAGGAGACACATTTCTGAACTTTGTTTCGGCGACAGGTTATAATTCTTGATGAACCTACTAGTGGCATGGATCCCTATTCGATGCGATTAACATGGCAGTTAATTAAAAAGGTAAAGAAGGGAAGGATAATATTGCTAACAACTCATTCAATGGATGAAGCTGATGAGTTAGGGGATCGTATTGCTATAATGGCTAATGGTTCTTTGAAATGCTGTGGCAGGTATGTTAACCATTTCTTCATTCAACTGCTTAATCTATCACATTACCCCTTTGATTTGTAATGCTCTATTGCAAGCATCATAACATCCTCTAGGCTAGTTAAAAGTTCATATTGCCGGAACTATTCTAGTGAGCTTTTTTCCCCTTTTTCTTTTAGTGTGTTAATACTTAATAGAATTATTCTTGCTCTCTGTATACACATTTATCTTGAACTATTATGGATTTTTGCTATGTGCAGTTCACTTTTCTTGAAGCATCAATATGGGGTTGGTTACACTCTTACTCTAATGAAGGTAATAGCCTGTATCTGAACTTTTAGTGGTGACAGTTCAAGAAATACCCTCTTGACATTTTGTGTTTCTCTCACACCCCAGTCCACTCCTACTGCTTCTGAAGCTGCTGATATTGTCTACCGCCACATTCCTTCTGCGATGTGTGTGAGTGAGGTACTTTTTGATGATAAGTTACTTCTTTGGTTTCTATTATTTGTTCTCTAACGGAAGTTATTAATGTTATAGGGAAAGGGTTAATGACTTTTTTAGTCCCAATACTACGTTGTTTTAACAAACATGTATCTATGTCGTTTATTCATTTAAGTCCCAGCATTATAATTTTTGTCTAGATACGTTACTAAAGGGGTCGGCTGATGCTTAGCAATCACATCCTTGATGACTCACTGTTACATGTGCTGAAAATCTGCCCATTGTCACTCAATCTGGCCCCATGAATCAATTCCCCATCATTGAGACTCAAACGACAAGATGCAAATTCGGATCATCATAAGTAAAATAGAGAAAGGAGGATTTGGGGATGGAATTGAAGGACGAAAAAAGAATTCTAGTATACACAGCATGTCAGATGCCGAAGACGTGCCTACTAACCATAAATCAACAACACTAGTAACGAATCTGGATAAAACTTCTCTTTTGGGGCCTAAAAACTGATAAACGACAGTTTACAAGGCAGTGTTAGATAAAAAATTTAGTGTTGGGACGCGTTTGTTAAAACAAGATAATGTATGAACTACAAAAACCATGAACCGTATCTGAGAAAGATTGTTGATAGTTGATAAACAGTAGGTCATTTATGTTTTGTGGAACTTCTTACGCCATCTTTATTTTCTCGTAATTTGCAATTTATGATCGTGTATAGAACAATTGAAGAAATGCTCCTTTACAGGTTGGGTCAGAGATCTGCTTCAGGCTTCCTTTATCATCCTCGTTATCTTTTGAAAGCATGTTTAGGGAGATAGAAAGTTGCATGGGAGGGTCAGGTTCTACCTCAGAAGCCATTGCAGTAGACAAACTCTTTCATGGTATTCAAGGTTATGGCATCTCAGTCACAACTCTGGAGGAAGTGTTCCTGCGGGTTGCAGGATGTTATTATGATGAAAGTGGAAATGATAGTTTGAACCAGATAAAGGACAGTGAACCTGATCATGTGGTTCCTTCTTCCTCTAACCATACCCCGGAAAGATTTTGTTACTCAAAATATTTGGGAGATTATAAGAAGGTCTATTGGATAGTATCAGGGATGGTGGGGAGAGCCTGTTCTTTCACGGTCGCTGTGTTACTAAGCTTCATTAAATTTGTCGCAATGCAGTGCTGTTGCTGTAGTATAATAACAAGGTCCGTATTCTGGCAGCATACCAAGGCATTGTTTATAAAGAGGGCACTTTCAGCACGGAGAGACCGGAAAACAATGGTTTTCCAACTTCTAATTCCTGCCATGTTTTTGACCCTTGGTCTTCTTTTCCTCAAGCTTAAGCCACACCCGGATCAGCAGTCTATTAACTTGACAACAGCATACTTTAATCCTCTCATAACAGGTGATGGTGGTGGTGGGCCCATTCCTTATAACTTTCACTGGCCTATTGCAAATGAGGTTAGTTACTTATTCTAATAATATCCACCTTTCTTACAGCCGGTACAATTCTATTGGGTATGTACCTTCATATTTACTTTGCTTATTCTGCAGGTTGCAAAGCATATAGAAGGGGGCTGGATTCAAAGATATGAGAAGAGTGATTTTAAATTTCCAGATCCAAAAAGGGCATTAACTGATGCTATTGATGCAGCTGGGCCTACTCTTGGACCAGTGTTACTTTCAATGAGTGAATTCTTGATGTCTAGCTTTAATCAATCCTATGAATCGAGGTGTGTTGAATTTTTTTTATTTTTTATTTTCTTGTATAGATTTATGTGTATGAGGTATACTGAAAAAAGGAAGAGTTTAGAATATATGGCATTTAGCATTAGCCATACATGTCAACTCTTTATTTTACTGGTGCTAAAAGTTCCATTGTTTCATATGTTACAAATGCTAATTTCCTTCTTAATTGGGATTGCAGAGCTGAAGGTATACATCCCTGCATACTAGTTCTACATTGATTATTTTGCTTGACTAGATTTTTGCTTTAGTTGGTACTTACCTTTAGTAATTTCAAGACATCATGAACTATATATCAGGAGAACAATCAAGGAGACAGTTATGGGTTCATCGTTGTATCCTGAAATTACCAGTGACGTTTTGGTTCCTTCTAATATTATTTGATTACTGAGATCAAAAGTTGTATATCGGATACGACGTGGTGAACTGACAAGGATAGAATTGTGGCAATGCATGAGGAATTGACATGCTGAATTGAGCTAGGGGCTATAGATTCTACAGCCTTAGCGGATTAAACACAAGTTTCCACTTGGTTTTCTGAGATTATTGCGGCAGTTGAAACTTTTATATGCCTTTCATTCATCTTCTTTGCACCTGTGGAAGGTCTTCAAGACAATCTACTTCTTGCCTGATGTATGTAAAGCTATCTGTATCTAGTGCTTGATACACATCGAGCTGATGATGTTGCATTCTGCAACCTTTCCTAGCTGATTATGTTGTCTATAACGCATAATTATGCAGGTATGGGGCTATTGTGATGGATGCTCAGAAGAAAGATGGAAGTGTGGGATATACAGTACTGCACAATAGCTCGTGTCAGCACTCTGCTCCCACTTTCATTAATGTAATGAATGCTGCACTTCTTAGGCTCGCCACAGGCAACAACAACATGACAATTAGAACCCGCAACCACCCGTTTCCTTTGACCCAAAGCCAGCACTTGCAGCGTCAGGTATGCTCTTGCGAACCACCGTAACCTTTTGGTTACAGTTTCTTGCAAACTCAAGTTCATCATGTGGGAAGCAGGATCATCAACCTATGTGAAGGGATCGAGAAGTGATCACAGATAATTAACTAGGAAAACCCAATTTCCAAATCATTTCGTATTATTTTCTAAATCTGAGTTCTCCATCTTCCAGTTTGTGGTATATTGCAATGGTATTGTCATGACCCATTAAAACATTCAAGATACAGCTCTAAATTGTATGGTTTACAACCAGAGGGTATTGTTGTGACTTGCATATGTCATATAGTTAGGTTTGAGAGAGATGGCAGTAGTATAGAATGAGCAGGCACAAATGACAGTTTCTGGCCCACTAGGTTTGGTGTGCCGTATGCCTTCACCAAAATTGTGTATTCTTCATTAGCAGTTACATGGTACAGAAAGGTCTTTAGTTCCTACTGACTGAAGTTTCCAAGGTGCAAGACATCTGGTCTTGCAAATTGGATTGGAATTGAAGCATGTCTTATATATGTTACCTTGTGGATAGACTCAGTGTGGTAATGATAAAGATGTGGATTTATCAATGTCGTAAATTTATTCTCTGCAAAAATTATATTGCTATGATTGAGCAGTAAATATTAATATGGTAATTTGTACCTGTTTATTGTGCAGGACCTTGATGCCTTCTCCGCAGCAATAATAGTTAGCATTGCATTTGCCTTCATTCCTGCTTCATTTGCTGTGGCCATTGTTAAGGTATTGTTTCAGAATGCTTCTCCAAATATTGAGCATAAGTGTTCCAGCCCCTGCGACATAATATTAATGAATTGGTATTCGCGAGCATTGCTATGGGATCTGGTTTCTAGTGGCAAGAGCATAATATAAACTAACTGGTGGCCCTAAGGATTTTGTCCTTCTTAATGGGTTTCTTAGATATTGTGTCCTTAAGCTTCATTGTCAATTGCATAAAGAGAGAATGTAAGAAAACAATTAACAACGTTGACTTGACATTGTTCTCACAGAAACTTTGAGCATTCTTGCCCTTCTTAATGGGTTTCTCAGATATTGGGTTCTGGATACAAAATTTGGATGATGTTTGAAAGTGAAGAACTGTGAGCGTAGGTTGGGAGTAGTTTTGTGTTAGAAGTTTGTTTGTCTGCACTTTTAGCTATGTGGAATTTAAGTTGACAAAAGCTCACACAAACATACCCCACAGTAAGTTGCACAAATTGGCCAATAATGACCATATGTATCATTTACAAGATTTCAACTTCCTTCCATCAGCCTTTTCTTTTATGCGAAAAGAACCAATACAAACTTTGAATACCATCTTCTTCTGCGTTGCATTGTCATCTAGTTACTAAATACTTTAGTCGGGGAGAAGGGTATACAATGTCCAAAATGTGAAAGGATATGCAAGACCAGTATATCTAGGGTGCCTTGTCAGTGACCTGCTACTCTCATGCCTTTGATATGACATCATTTTGGCGTGATTTAGTAGCACAATACAATAAAAGTACACCAACACTCGTCTAATCAGTCACAAAAAATGGTTCAGCTGGAGGATAGCGTATTATAGCTAGTGGCTTTGCCTGAAATCACTGGTCCAAATTTATCCTTAAGAGTTAATCCTTTTTTGCCATACACAGTAATATTTTCTATAAGGCAACTTGACTGCTATTTTTGGCACCTTAAGTTCCATTTGGTAAGATTTTGAGGTGAAGTTCTGTTGTCTTGTTGTGATTATAAATGTTTCTCATAACACCTTACATTGAACAGGAGCGTGAAGTGAAGGCTAAGCACCAGCAGTTAATTAGTGGGGTATATCTATCCTCTGCTTCTTCCCGAGTTTTAGCTACTGGATTTTTTAAGCTGTAACACACTAACCAAGTGCTCATATTTAGGTTTCAGTACTTTCGTACTGGGCTTCTACCTACATATGGGACTTCGTCAGCTTCCTCTTTCCTTTGTCTCTTGCTATGGTTCTGTTCTACATTTTTGGTATGTCATGTTTCCTTTGTGGAACAGCGGAGTTCTAGAGGGGAGAGGGTTCGACAATGTTTGCAACTGCTTCCGTATTCTGATTCTACGTATATATTCCCTTTTTTCTTCGATTCAATATTCCTAGTGACTTTTCAAGCATCTGAAATTTCTTTATCACCATTAGAAATACTGTGAAAGGTTTGGGTGGGAGATCATATGAATTTAAAACGAATTTGAGCTTCAAAAAGTAATAGCAAAACTGGGATATAGCATGCCAGTCTTCTTTGGTTGTGTTTAAGTTGAATAAATTCATGGTCACTCTTAGCATGATTAGCTTCAGACAATGAAACTATTCTATCTGTTTAATTTGTGTTGGCCAACATTCACGTTGACCATGGTAAGATATCAATCGGGCTAAGTTGTGAGATGCAGGGCTGGATCAGTTCATCAGCGGAGAAAGCTTCTTGCCAACATTGCTCTTGTTTCTAGGTTATGGATTAGCAATTGCGTCATCAACATACTGCCTGACATTCTTCTTTTATGATCATACGATGGCTCAGGTATTGTTGTCCCATTATTTTTATCACGCTGATTAGAATAGCTCAAGTTTTTATATTGAATAATTTTCTGTCTGATGTTTCTGCAGAATGTGGTTCTGTTGGTCCACTTTTTCACTGGACTGATTCTTATGGTTATCTCATTCATTATGGGGGTGATAGAGACCACATCCCAAGCAAATAATGTTCTCAAGGTTGTCTTTCCTCTCTCTGGCATAACTGGTTGTGTATGGCATGTTTTCTCTGCAATTGCATTTCAGAAGGCTCCACTAAATTGATTGTTAATTTTTACTTTCTCGCTGATGGATGAATATTAAGAGAAAGAATTTTTCCAATGCATATTCTGCAGCTGGCTGCAGTAGTAGACTTGTGGTCACTATTTACAGAGTCCACTTAGGGCAGCTGTACACAACGTGCATGCAGCTGACCTGGAAGTTTGTTTATCTGAGTTATTATCTTCCAAATATGTTCCTTGATTTTGATGTCACCTTAATAAGCAAGAAATAGCTTCCTACAAAAAGACAACAGAGACTACCTATAGAAAAGTGTATTTATGAGGGAGCTAAATCTGCCAATATTAATACTTCCGAATGGTTTGGATAACCTTTGAAAGACAAATTTTGTGCGTTGTTACCTTCAAGTAAACAGGCTATGATACTTATCTAATACTTGTGAATTCTTTGTAAGTGGTCGCAATAACTAGTATTTATATTTGTTAGGTTTTATGATTGCGGATTTGTGAATTTGTTGGTTCAGTTAAAGAAACCTTAGTTCTTTGTTCTTGTTGAGTTGTGAAAAATGTTACGTCACTGGCTAAATGTAGAGCAGTACCATGTCAGCCTGTTTCTACTTGTCTAGATTTGCACTCTGTCAAAATTGTTCAACAGATTTACGGGCCTCTCAGGATCCTTATTTAGGCTGTATTAATGCAACTTGCTGCCAATTTCACCTTATAGCTTGGTTTTTTAACTTAGATGCTTTAAGGAAGACCTATATGCCTGCGTTTTGTTTGTGAATTAACTTTAATTTTAATTTGTGTTTTTAGCAGCTGAAAGTGCTTATTGAAGTTAATATAAAAGGTTTATTGAATTTCATTTTGGCCTTTCTTAAAGCACCTAACGTAAAATCTATGTAGACAAGCTAAAAAAAATCTTTACATTAATAGGTACTGACATGAAGCCAAACTAATAGTTGGTGTTTTAATTTGTTGTGTTCGATATAGGTGTTTGTGTGCTTGCCTAAATAGCGTCTGCACACAACACACCAGACACTTCTAATAATTGGTACCTGGTGTTACTCAGATCTTCTTTAGAGTGGCACCCGGTTTTTGCTTTTCTGATGGCCTCGCTTCACTGGCTCTTCTAAGACAAGGGATGAAGGATACATCAAGTAATGCAGTGTTTGATTGGAACGTTACTGGTGCTGCTATCTGTTATCTTTATGTCGAGGTGAACTTCTTCCCTTAACCAATCAAGTAGTGTAGTTCACTTATTGGAATGTGACTGGTGCTCCAATCTGTGTTTGTTGATATAACTCTTCTTTTGACTCATAAAATAAAATAAAAAATTACACTGATGACTTTCGGGTTTCTGTGTCTCTGGCATTCGAAGTTGATTGGGGGTGTTTTGGACTTCCTCTGTTCAGAACATCTCGTCAGTCAATTTGTTTCCACAGTGATGTCACTCCCAGTTGTAGCAACTGTGTCTGTAGCTTAGTATGAACATCCTATCATGCTAATTGTATGTTAATGTCTTCCTGCGAATTCTAAAATAATGGATGTCTGTTTACCTGGTCACATGACCTAGAAATTCTAGATTCAAAAGAAATTTGCAACTTTAATCATACTGATAAAAGGAAATGATACTGGTTAAGTTGAAGGTATAGTCATTGTCTTAATCATCCCACTGAGCATCTACTTGGATATTTTCAACTCAAGTAGTTGGCTGAGTGGGGTATTGGTTGGAAGAAGCGCACACAGGGTTCAGATACTGATCAGAATTTTCATTGAGAGAAAGAACAATAAAGGGTGATAACTTCTCAATTGAGTGCTTACCATTATGTCAATAACTTGCTTCTGGGGGAAAAAATTGTAATCCTCGAGCATGTTTTTTAGCCGCTGAAATCATATACATAACAATCGTCTTTCCCATGGCTTGCAATTTAAACTTTGAACATCTTTTCCTGGCAAAAGTAAGGGATTGTTATAGAAGGGAGAGGCTTTTTAGAAACCCCTGGAATATTTTCTGAAGAAAATTTGTTAATACCTCTTACAGGATATCTTAAGGGTCATATAATTGAAGCATTGGACTGTGTTTATCCACATATTAAAAGTCACCGAGTCTCATAGAGATCAGTTTGCTTATTGGTTGCAGAGCTTTGCATACTTTTTACTTGCTCTTGGACTGGAGTTCTTACCTATCCACAAATTTCGCCTTGTTACAATGGAGCACTTTTGGAGGAGAATTAGACAGTCCCAATATGATGAGTCTTCCACCTATCTAGAACCCCTTCTAAAGTCTCCATCATATTCAGCAACTGGCGCCTTGGAGCTTGAGGAGGATATAGATGTTAAAACTGAAAGGGAGAGGGTACTTTCAGGCTCCATTGACAACGCCATAATCAATTTGTGTAATCTTCGAAAGGTAAGATTTTGGCTGCTGTAAAGTTAGCAGTTGATTAATTAATCATTCACAAATTCCAGTATAACACATGGAACTCAAATTAAGGTGTATCCTGGGGGAAAAGATGGCACAAAAGTTGCAGTACATTCCTTGGCTTTCTCAGTAAATGCGGGAGAATGCTTTGGATTTTTGGGCACTAATGGAGCTGGGAAGACTACAACATTGTCGATGTTATCTGGTATGCGTCTAGATTAATTCATTGCAGCTCACTGTTTTGGTTTTGACCTCATTGTTAATATTTATTTGAATTGTCTAGCAATAGTATAGAAAGCAGTTGATTTATTTAGAAAACATATTTCTGAGAAGACATTGACACTATCTTTCTTTGTTCTTTTTTGAACCATGGCAGGAGAGGAATCTCCAACAGATGGAACTGCTTTTGTCTTTGGGAAAGACATACGTTCAAATCCTAAGGCTGTCCGGAGTCATGTATGCCCCAATGTTTCTGATTGAGGATACGTTTTTCTGATTTCTATTCATTTTCCAATCATTTACATGTGACTAAGCTAATTTTTCTCGTCTTGTTGATCTTATACAGATTGGGTACTGTCCCCAGTTTGATGCTTTGTTGGAGCTCTTGACTGTGAGAGAGCACCTTGAGCTCTATGCAAGAATAAAAGGAGTTACGGGTTACAAAATGGATGATGTAAGTAATTCCTTGAAATTATAACTATCCCCCTCCCCCTGTTTTCCTAGCTACTGGCTGTGGCTTTAGAGAGCGCTATGTCAGTTTTTCTGCTTTATGCTCTAACTACTCGTTAAGGCGTGAAATTTTGGTTTGCTTTTGTCTATTTTGTGTTTCCTTGGCCCTTGTCTTATTCTGTTGATGTCTATTTTGTGTATCGTTGGCCCATGTCCAGTTTTGTTTATGTCAATGGCTGTAGTAATAGTAGACAGGAAACTGAAACAACACTTTGATGTTTCCATGGGTTTTAACATAATTATGGGACCATGACGCTTTCAGGGTCCATAATTCAGATATTTGCATGTAGTAATTATTTGACCTAAGTTTTCAGTTGGATGAATCAGCATTTTACTTATATGTATCTGTTAACCTGGTTGTAGGTTGTGATGGAAAAATTGGTGGAATTTGATCTGTTGAAGCATGCTGACAAACCTTCCTTCACCCTAAGTGGAGGCAACAAGCGTAAACTATCCGTCGCTATTGCTATGATTGGAGACCCGCCAATAGTATTCCTTGATGAGCCATCTACAGGTATGCAAGTTTGCTAATCTTTTGTTTTTTGGTTGGAAAAGGTGTGAAGGTGGTCTTAGGTGCTTGAAGACGGTCAAATTTGTATTACACACTTGATGTTTTCCTAGTGCAATACAAACAGAGAATGAATTTCTTTCCTTTGGGTAAGTTGCAAGGCAAGTAAAGAGGCACTGTGGTTCTCTGCTCTGGTTTGAAAGAAAAGGGCCAGTTACAAATATACCATCGAGTCTTGCAGTGTATCTTTGCCACTGTGTAACGATAACTGTCAACTTATGACCTAAATGACTATATGGAACCTCGTTTCCTCTCCAATTCCAGGAGACTTTTTGACCTTCCTCTATTGTTTATCTTCCTTCTTATTGGGGTTTCCTCCCTTCCTTTCCACTTACGAGTATTGCCAAATCCCGCATCCGAGTGAGTTCTTGGTCGTCTGACAGCAGAGTTTGAAGGAAACTTTTGACTATCAGAAGTTTGTATCCCCTATTGTTATGAGCAAAAGTGTTCATTTGAAGTACTCGTCTTGACTAAAAAAATGAAGCTTTACCCCCAAGTTAATGAACTGTTCTCTTTTTTTGTTTCTCGCATTACATCCATCATTTGATTGAAATAGGTAGTTTTGAAGTATATTCACAGATGGAATCATTTTCTGTCAATGCCATATTTTTTTATTAGTAAACGGCAATGCATATAACTACGGTTTATTACTTTATTTTAGGTATGGACCCTATTGCCAAAAGATTCATGTGGGAGGTGATATCCCGTTTGTCAACCAGACGCGGGAAAACTGCTGTCATTCTCACTACACATAGCATGAATGAAGCTCAAGCACTATGCACCCGTATCGGAATTATGGTAACCACTCAATATATGCTTCTCCAGCTACTAATATTAGCCACTAGCTTTTTTATCAGTCTCATGCATTGGCTTGGTTTTGAAGGTAGGAGGGCATCTTAGATGCATCGGAACTCCTCAGCATCTTAAAACACGATTTGGAAATCACCTTGAGTTAGAGGTACAAGATGCTCAACCCAAGTCTTTTCTTTTGTCAGTTGCATTGCATAGGGTGAGTAAGTTCCACTCAGATATAAATTTGTATCCTCTTGCCTCCAGGTTAAACCTACTGAGGTTACCTCTTGGGACTTGCAACAACTTTGCCAAGCTATCCAAGAAAAGCTTTTTGATATCCCTTCACAGAAAAGAAGCTTGCTTGGTGACCTTGAAGTTTGCATTGGTTCTAGCAGCTCGAGTACATCGGATGCCGCATCAGTGGCAGAGATCAGCTTGTCGCAGGAAACGATGATACTGATTGGATGTTGGCTTGGGAACGAAGAAAGAGTAAAGAAACTTGTATCTTCTTCACCTTCTGATCCCAATGGCATGTTAGATGAACAATTAGCAGAACAGTTGGTTCGAGATGGTAATAGCACTCTCCAATTCTTCCTATCACTGTCTGATTTATGGTCTCTCTCAAATGTTAGTTTTTTTTTAATGTGATTCTACCAAGACTTAACTTTCTGGTCAAGCAGGTGGCATGCCACTACCTGTGTTCTCCGAGTGGTGGCTAGCAAAAGAGAAGTTCTCGGCTATCGATTCATTTGTGCTATCTTCTTTCCCGGGTGCTACATTGCAACGGTGCAATGGCATGAGTGCTAAATATCAGGTAAGTGACAATGTATTGAGCCTGTTGTATTCCAAAACTTGCAGCATAAAACCGAATGTGACAGGTGGCGCCTTGAAGAGTTGATAGTAAAAACTGTAATAATACTGTGATCTAGTACACTTCCAGCAGTTTACAGAACAATGCTAATCTCAAACTCCACTGCAGTTGCCATACCGGGACGATTTGTCGCTCGCTGATGTTTTCGGTCACCTAGAAAAGAACAGGTTAGATACATTGCTTGCTATCTTGTTAGTCCGTCCTCGGAACTTCATCGTTGTGGTCACTGACTGTTGTGTTTCGTTCTTCGTAACAACATTCTGGTGGTTCAGAAAGCAATTGGGGATCTTGGAGTACAGCATCAGCCAGTCGACATTGGAGTCCATCTTCAATCACTTCGCTGCTGCTGCAAGTTCTTGAACTACCATTCTGTTACGGTTGTTGTTGTATGTACGTAAATCCACGCTCAGCGTCCATCTGTCTGTACATATACATACAAAACTACTCACGTTCACGCTGACTTGTAACCCTGAAAGCAAATCCCAGTTGAGCTGTGGTATCCATGTTTGTTTGGAGTATAAAGAGTTGGATTCTTGTTAGGTTCTTTGTGTGTACTTGAACTGGCAAAGAGAAGCTGGACCACCTTACCACTTGTCGCCGGAGGAAAGTGGGGGCGGTGATACAGAGAAGAGGAAAGGGAAATGGACATCTCAACCACTCTTTTGAACCGCTCAATTAGTCAGGAGACAATTAGCCACCAACCCTGGCCTGGGAGTCTGGGATTTTGTTGTCCTTTCTTCCTGTCTTTTGCATGGCAGTCGGTGATCTAACTTGGTTTTGTGAACCCAACGAGCGAGTACACGATTAGATGGCCCTACTCTACCTAGTACTCACTCACGATCCACTCGCTCCACCCAGCAAACTTTGTAATTAGTTTAACTTAGGGGTCGTTCGGAAGTTATGAGTCTAAATGAGCGATTTTGTGAATGTGTGTATTTTTTACAATCTATCGTTTTTTTTACATAAACTTATCTAGAATGCATGCATTTGATTGATACTTTAGGGGTCGTTTGGAAGTTGCGATTGTTAGCATTGTATTTGTTAAATACATGCATTGTCCACAATACAACGTTTGGAAGTGTCAAGTTGCAAAACAATGTATGTATTGTTTTGTGTGGGTCCCACCAACAATCAACAAAAATGAGGGATTGTACAATCTCAACTAAAAGTTGAGATTGTTGTGATTGTTGGTTTAATAATTGAGCACATTTACTTTTTTCAATTATGTCCATAGTTCTTTTTGTTTTATATTAAAAGTTGAGGACAAATATGACATTTCCTTATAAAGTAACTTTATAACAATCAATTCATAAATTATAATCTCAACAACCAAACAATGTAATTTCAAAATGCATCTATTGTATCAATGCATGCATTTATATCATAGTGATTCATAACAATACAACGATTTAAGATACTCAACTTCCAAACGACCCCTTAGAATCTCAAATGAATAGAATCATTCATTTTAGAATCTCTACAAAAAAGTTGAGATTCTCTTGCTTTACTTTTGTAATTGCTTTTTTGCACCTCTTATCCATATTTTTTTTTATATTTCATATTTGTCCGTTCTTTAATTGACTATATAAAGAGAACTTCAAGATCATATAAGTCTTTTTGGTCAATAAAGTGAGAATACTTAAATACTTTAAAAGTGAAAATCACAACTAACAAACAACATATTCTTACAATCATCTATTTCTTACAATCACTACACTTAGAATACATACATTGCAAGAATACACATATTCATAGACTCCCAACTTCCAAACGAACCCTTAGTGTTTGTGAAACCATATCGGTGGTTCAATTGGAAAATTTTATATTGGAGTTTAATTTGGTGTGTGACTTTTAACAGTATGAAACGTAACTACAACCTCTCCAGAAAAAAAAAATTACGCCATTGTTCTTCCAAGTTTTTTTCGACAACAATAGTGGAACGTTAATATCATTTCATAGTTACTAGATATTGGACCGCTCGCTTGCGCTTCGCGGTGAGTTGTGGGTAACATAGTAACTCTGTTGTATGATATATTCAACAAATATAATTCATAAGGCAATTACAAAAGTAGCGAGAAAAATCACAAAGATGTTGTGGGAGAACTCCGTAACAATTTGCACTCTTACCAATATTTGATGAAGAAGTATTAGTCTGATTTGGAGCTTGACAACTATTAATCAGAAAATTTATCAATACATTATGTTCTTCTATTTTAGTCCAACAAACAAAAGGATAAACTTAGAATTTACCATGGATTGTAAACTAAGATGAAAAAGAATATAAAAAATCAACAAAAACAAAAGAAAAAGACGGGAGAACCTAGTAATTAGTTTCGTTGGTTCGAAGGCTACTTTCGTTCTTTTCGATTTAACATCGTATACGTCCTCGAGCGGGAGAGATGATTAAAAATGAAAAATCACACACGAAAGCATGTCTCACCCGAGAGAGATGGGACATAATAAATCAACAGAAGCAGAGGAAAAAGACGTAAGAACCTAGTATTTAGTTTCGTTGGTTCGAATGCTACTTCCGTTCTTTTCAATTTAACATCATATACGACCTCGAGCGGGATAGATAATTAAAAATGCTAAATCAAATACGAAAGCATGTCTCATCCGAAAGAGACGAGTAAGCATACAAAAGCAAATACGAACAACAAAGCGATTTAAGAACAACAAACAAAAATATAAGAAATAAGGAGATAAATGAAATATGGAGAACATAAGTTGAATAAAAACAAAAAACATGTTGACATATGTCTCTTTAAGTGGTTGCCATATGTCACTCGTGAAAGATTGACCTTAAACTTTGATAAAATTACCTAAAAACCTCTTAATGAATAGTAGATTCTTAACCAAGGCTTTTATATAAGAATTTTTTGGATTTTTCTAAGAATTCGAGTAAGTGAATCTAGGCATGGTACGATGAGTAATGTTGTATAATAGTCCTTATGGCTATCAGTACTAATGGTTTGTTTAAAACTTTAAACACATATTGGGTATAATGATCAATCCAAAAAAGAAAATTCAAATTCATAAATTAACTCTTCATTTTAAGTGTCAATTTGAGTTAACAAAATGAACTAGCAAGGTTGTTAAACTCCTATCGAACCCCCGGTTGGACTCTGTCCAATCCGAGTCGGGATTCAAAACGGCCTCCAGAAAGCCTCCGGTCTAAGTGGGAGAAGAAGAGAAGGGGAAGAGAGGAGGATGAACGAAGGAAGGGAAATGGTGGGTGGGTCATGGAAGTTAGATAGATTTATTTTGTGGAAAATGAGTTTTTAATAATATATGTAAGATAAATATTATTTCATTCATTAAATTTTTAATTATTAACTTATTTGTATATATATTTAGTAAACGTCTAAAACAGCTCAAACCGGCCAAACCCCGATCAGACCATTAAATCCCTTGCTTGACCGGCTCAATGACTTAAACCGGTTTGACAACCTTGTGAACTAGTTTTCGATATCATAAAAAAGACACTATTATTGCGAACGAAAGTCAAACTGGACGGTCAATTTCTCCATCCTATTCAATGGTGAAGTAGCAGAGGAGTTCAAACCGTCCAGGGGGATCAGACAGGGAGACCCACTTTCTCCCTTCCTTTTCATTTTAATGTCTAATGCGCTCACCTTTCTAATTGATAAAGCAGTGTCCCAGAACCAGTTCAACGGAATTAGATTGAACGCAAGATGCCCGATTCTCACCCACTGTCTTTTTGCAGATGATACAGTGATATTTGGAAAAGCTGACCATCAAGAAGCGGAGAAGATCTTGGATCTTATAAGAGAATGTGGAGCCATCACAGGACAAGAAGTGAATATAAACAAATCATCTGTCTTCTTCCGTGTGAATGTACCCGATGTGGACAAAGCTCCAATCATGATCACATTGATTTTGCCTCTTCTAACCGTCACACCAAGTACTTAGGAGTGCCGACGGAATGGGGGAATTCAAAGAAGGAAACTTTTCAATTCCTAATACAGAGAATGGAGAAGATGGGGGAAGCGTGGAAGAGCCTACTACTATCTCATGGAGGGAAAGAAGTGTTGCTCAAAGCAGTCATCCAAGCTATTCCTTCCTACATCATGTACCTCTTTAACCTTCCGGTTAACCTCACCAGGAAGATGGATTCCCTCCTCACCAACTTCTTCTGGTCAGGGTCAATGCAGAAAAGCACAATGCACTGGTGTAGGAAGGAGATTCTATGTGCTCCAAAATCAGAAGGGGGATTGGGGTTCAGAAGCTTCAAAGATTTTAACATGGCCCTGTTGGCAAAACAAGCGTGGAGAATCCTAAATTCCCCTGATGCCCTATGGTGTCGACTCCTAAAGGGGCTGTACTTCCCGAGAGGAGAATTCCTACAATCGAAGAAAGGAAGTAGAGCATCATGGATCTGGGTGAGTCTCTAGGAGGCTAAAAAAATTATCAACATGGGAGCAATTAGAGTAATCGGGTCAGGGGAGGATACATGGATTGGTCAAGATCCATGGATTCCGAGCATGCAGAATTTTGTCATCGAAAGTGGCCCCCGGCAGAACCTGAGGGTCAAGAAATGGATACCCAGTTAGTAGGAGCTGGAATATGGAATTGCTTCAAGGTCATGTGACGAGGGATGAAGTGGAGGTTATCCTTAAAGTCCTAATTTGGGAGGAGGGTTCTGATGATTTTTGGGCTTGGAGCCTCACTCGAGAGGGAGATTTCTCAGTCAAGACGACATACCACGCAGTTCATAAAGTCAACACTAATTTCCAATCGACCGGAAGTGAAGAGAGGTGGAAATGGATTTGGGGACTGAACATCCCGTCCAAGCTTAAGTTCTTTTTATGGAGATGTTCCAGAAATGGTTTGGCAACGAAAGCAAGAATCTTCCAACGTAAATGTGCTCCTAACCCGAATTTCCAAGTGTGTCATAATCCTTTCGAGTCCCTTAACCACTGCCTTTTCTACTGCCCCCATGCGAGAGAATCATGGACTAGCATTTTTGCTTCCCTTCTGATTCCTCCTCAGGGCACCTCGTTCTTTGATTGGTTCTGCTACCTCAAAGATACCATCCCTCAGAACTCTCTTACTCATATTATCTACCTGTGTTGGAACATTTGGAAGGCTATGAACGAGCGCACTTTCAAGAATAGAGTCCCATGGCCCCCAAACGTGTGTCTGCAAACCTACAGAGAACTTACGGAATGGATTGCTTGCCTGAGGCCCCCACCTCAAGGTTCAGATGGTCCCACTCAGCTCAGGGGATCCAACCCTATTACGAATCCTCCGCCAAGTAATCACTCGATAGTAATTCAATGTGATGGGTCGTTCTTTAGCGACTCCCAGTCGGCGGCTTATGGTGTTGTTGTTGTTAA